AAAATCACTCATAACCAGCCTGACATTCAGGTACAAAACAGTCTGGCAGAGGTACCAAACTGACAGTTTTGGCAAAGCTGCCAGAAATCTTCCCTGAGCATCCTCTGCCAGTGACCTCAGACCTTCGCTCTATCCATTGGGTAGGACCTTCCAAGTAGCCACTTGCTTTTTCTAACTCAATGAAAGTGCAAGAGCACTGATAAATGGATCCATGTTTTTTTGGAAGTTGCTCTGTGTCATATGAGTACGTGTGTTTTTCTGGGCAAGGCCGCATAAACTGCTTTTACTGAAATACACTGCAAAACACCTATTTGCAGCCCACATGAAAGCACATGAAGAGGCTTGTCCGTGCATTTCACTCCTATCTTAGATTCATACAAGAGGGAAGAAAAAGAGGAAACGGTAAAAGAGCCAAAATCCATTCCCTGCCCCTGTGCCCTAGACCCCACAGAACAGCTGGGCCGTTGCCGCTGAGCCGCCCCTCGCCTGCACGTTACCGTCCTCGCAGCTTGGCCCTCAGAGCCTCCCCAGTCCATTCCAGTGCAAAAGGAGACATTCGTGTCAATCCCAGGCGCGAATTCTTAAGGCGGTGCTGCAGTCTGCAAGCAAACAGCTTTCCCTTGTTCATCCTTTGCCCTCCACTCATCCTTTTAGCAGCGTGTACTTTCTGCGTCCTCTTTACTTAGCGCTGTCCGCCACACGGGGTATAACTTTACGCATTAACTTTCTGGTTTGGTTTTCTAGCCATACGGCAGGAGTTGAGTAGAATCAGTACAACATAATGATTGCAAAGCATTCGGACGGTACTAAGAGTGCTAGGAAGATCGGATCATTTCTGAGTGTACCAAGGTCATGCAAGATGGTGAGAGAGGACACCGGCACTGTCTTTGTTCTTATACCCTTTTTATTAGCAGACTCAGCACACTTTGAAGCTTGCTGCTGCCTTGGATTCGCTTCATTTTAAAAGTCTTAATCTAAAGAATATTAAATTTTAAATTTCTGGATTTTTTAGATTTCATCTGACACTGCACATTGGATTTGTCAGCCTTTTTTGTATTTTGTATTTGCTTATTTAAATGTATTACCTTTCTTTTTAGTAGTAGATAAGAACACATGTGAACCATTTGCTTTTAATAGATTACTTCAAAGTAATTTTATTAGTAGTCTGCAATGTAAATGAAGATCCTTTGCCAACGGAAATGTATTGTGGCATCACCAGAAGAAACAGAGACATGTTAGTTGTCGGCCAACAAGTTCTTTGTCTCAGAGTTATCACAATATAAAAAAAAAATGGTACGTCGGTGCATCACAGTATCTGTGTTCATATTGGTAATAAACTGTTTATTGTCCACATGGCCCTGCTTTTCTTTGATTCATTAATCCCCTAGGGTTTAGCACGTCCAGGTCACCTGGGTTTGTTTTCCTGCTGGTACTGCCAGCTCCGGGGAGGATGAGAGGAAGATAACGCACGTTCATATCCCGGCCAGCCCCGCAACACGAGCACGTCGCATTCGCTGCCCTTCATCTCCTGTTGTCACTAAAAGCAGTCCTGTCACCTGCTCTTCTAAGGGCTTCTAAATAAAAGGGAGGTGTTTATTCGGAACCAGGGTGGTGATGGCAGCCGGACACTGCAGCCACAGCAAGCTGGAGGCACTAGCACCACGTCGGTGCACTGGAAGCTCATAGGGAGTCATTTGTCAGCATTTCACATTTTGCAGTCCTTGGAGAGCTTTATTTCAATCAAACTGAAGTCTGAGATGGTCGTGCAGGACACGGCAGCAGCGTGGCTGAGCATTTTGCTGCATGCACCACTTGGGTCTTTCTGGTTATGCGTCTGTAGAGAGAGCCATTCGTTCCACCAAGTGTAACCCAAGGGCTTTCTGCCTGGCTTGGCTCAGTGCAGGCTTTACAAGGCGACGGTCTTGATACCATCTCAATAACTCTGTGTGAAAGGTAAGCGATTGGAGCCCAGCTATTGAAATCCTTCACAGATTTTCCAAAAGACCTCTCTGCTTCAGGCCTTCCTGAAGATAAAGGGCAAAAACAGGTACAACAACAGGTACAAGGGGAGGGCTGCATCTGAGCAAGAAGCCAGGTGGGAGGTGAGGAGAGGGTGGTGCACACGATGCACTTAGTTATGTGTTTAGCTCAGACCGTGGATGTCTCTCCTGTAGAACAATCCCCTCTGACTTTTGGAAAACTTTCCAGGAGCTATTTTTTCTCAGTATGGTTATTAAATACCAGAACAGCTTTTCTATGGGAGAAATGTAAATTTAATCCAGCTACAAGATCTGGGACCCGGTTTCTGCTAGCTATTTAAGGCTAACTAGCCAGATCCCAGCTTCCCAAGTGGAAGGCTGGAGAAAGATGAGGTATGAGGCAAGATTTCCACATCAGAAATGGCGCCGCAGGACACAGATAGATGTATGACACAGTACTGCAGCATCCAGGCCAAGAGAAGGGGCCTTTCCAGCTAGGAAGAACTAGAAGTTTGTCAGAACTTCCGTTCAACATTGGGCAGTTCATCAGTCAGGCATCAGAAACAATTAAGACTGCGAAGGTCTATTGCATAAATCCCATACAATAGCTCAAGTGTTTCTTAATTATAAACCCATTTAATGGGTTACCTGACACTAGCAAGCACTTCTCTAAACTGTTGCCTCCCAGATGATCACAATCGTTGTATGAAACACTCCCATCATCTTAATCCTTAAATGCCAGGAAGTTGGAGCCTGGCGCAGTTCACGTTGCCTTGGAATGTGGCCCTGTGCCTAGGGTCACTAATAACAACGTCTTAACAGCAGCCTCAGCTCGTGTATGGCGTGGCCCTCTGTTAACATTAGCAACCTGCTGTAAACGAGCTGTTCTGCCTCTCTCACCCCTGCGAGCCTCATGTAATTAAGATACAATGACCTGAAGTTTGCACAAGGTCAATTAGTAGCTGTGGGCGCGGAGGCCCAAGGCTCGGGGGTGGAGGCCGTGGGCGGGCAGACGTGGCCGACGAGGGGAAGCAGCGACACCTCATCCCAAGGCCAGCGCTTCAGCCAGCGCTGCGGGCCACACGCTGGCAAACCCACCTCCGACCGCTCAGGCTCTAACTACACCCGTTAAGTAGCAGGCCGGAGAGGAGCGGCTTCGCCACGAAGCTGCTGGCCCATGGCTGGCTGTGCCCCAAACCAAATATCCCTTCCCAGCGCGGCCCAGGCGCAGCTCGGGATCAGCAGGAGCCGGAGACACCCACATCTTGACAAGCCCAGGGCTGGAGGAGCCAAGTCAGCATAAGTGAGAAGGGACCTTAACCTCCCCTCCCACCATCATGTGGTTGGTTGTCCCTGCCCATGGCTCTCCTGCTTCCTCTTGCCAGAGCGCTATGAAGAGGAATCCAGGTTACTTTTTAAGCTAGGACAATAAAATTCTTATGTTCTTGCAACCCAATCCCAATCGCCATGTGTTTACAAGCAAGCAAGCAAACAAACAACACTCTGCCAGCATCATACATAGTGACAAGTGGCCAAGCAGAAGCCAGGATCACAGCTCTGCCCAGCAGCACCAACATAAAGCGGACATGAGCACTCACACGGCACATCCACAAGCACCAGGAATTCCAGCAACTTGCAATTCCCACTTCATTGCAGAGAGTAGATAGGGAGGCTGTGGTGCTGTCCGGGCACGGGAAGTTGGGACCGGGACTGAAATGCTGATGGGAAGCAGGCCAAGAAAGCAGTGGCCAAGTGGGGTTACCCCCAGTTTCCTTGTGGCCTCCGTTTCAGGCAGGCTCTGAGTCTACCCAGTCCATGCCGGGGACTGCACTGGAGCAGCTCAGTAAGGGAACTTCAAGGCAGGAGGTAACTCTACATAAAGGAAAACGACAATAGTCAGAATGAAGAAGACAACATAAACTTTATTATGGTTTTTATATTAATTTGCCAAAGTTGGCCAAGGAAATTGAGGAACAGCTTGCTAAGGGCACAGGAAGTTCATCGTGGAGAGCCAGCAGCGCCGGGGCAAAGTAGTGGAAAAGTGAAGATCCCTGAGATTAGTATTGATGCAAAGATGCTACTGCAGGTTCCCACACCAAAGTTTCCTTTGGGGAGAAGGCACCTGAAGACCAGGAAAGTCTCATGTGCCAGCAGAAGTCCTGCTCTTCCTCTCCTTTTCCAGAAACCCAACTCTCAGAGCACAACAGTCTCTGTGAATGAGCTGGTATCCTGCCCGAGTCACAAGGCATCTTGCATCAAGCCTGGGTATTTACCCTACTGTCAAAATCACACAGAAGGAAATGGGAGGTGCAGGAAAGTTTAAGTCCAGTTGGTACAAAATGACAGATGAAGGTCCACACCAATAGCGCAGAGTCAGACACTTGGGTAGAAAAACAGCCCCAGTTGCCTGCTCCGGGTGCGTCCCCCCAAGCGATGTGAGGGTTTTTACAGCAACAGAGTGTCAGATGCTTCCCAAAAACCACGTCCCCTCCCATCAAGGAGCAAAGGAAAATTACAATTATTCTGAAAGCAATCAGGAACAAACCTCCCCATAATGGATCCTTGTACTCCTGCTTGCTATTTGGAGAAAGAGATAGAATAGAGGGGATGTAGACAGAAAAGAAAGCGTATATAGAGAAAAGAATAAAAAAAAATAGAGAAAAGCCAGAAAGATTATCAGAAATATCAACGTCCTTTGCAGGCAGCAATTAACATTAGCATCTTTCCATCCTGCAAAGGGCTTCCAGTCGTGGGGAGTATGAAAAACATGAAGGTAGGAATATTGTTGAAAAGGTGACTAGGAAAGAACTGCTCGTGATTCCTCCCCACCCAAGTTAGGGCACATGCACTTGACTGATGAGGAGCTGCAGACAGAAGCAAGGTTTTCTCCACATCACTGTTCAGCTGTGCTAGCAAGTTACAGTGAACACTGGATCCCAAGAATAGAAAAGGATTCATGACAGGTTTAGAAAAGTCCTGGAGTAAAGCTCAAACAAAAGCTACTAAAATAATGATAAAATGTCTACATATTCTCTTCTTTATTCTAAATCTGAGCTATCAGCTGTGGTCAGAAGCAAGGTACTGGTTTAGCAAAGACTTCAAGCTAAAAGTACCCTTGGGTTCTTACAGAAGGCATAACTTATTAGTGCACATCAGGCCCCGCTGCTTGCATGGGCCCTAGCATGCAAAATAGGTCCATCTAAGCTGGCCTGAAGAGAAACCAGCCCCAAAACACACATACCCACACACACAGCACTCTCCTTTGCAAGCCAGGCCTGCAAACACACTTAAACAGACTTAATCCTGGATGAGGAAGTCAATTTTAAGTCTAGACCAGAGGTCCACACAAGCATAGCTTTCTCTAATCTAGTTTATCAGTGTTACATAAACATACATCCTTTATTTAAAAGTATCAATATACTAAAATAGTGCCTGCAATTGCATCATTCTTCCAGGGAGACAGGAGACGTAGGCGGGTGCTATTTCAGCACATGCACACGAACACACACACAGACCCAGCCTTCTATACCACTGCTGACAGCTCAGCTCATGCAAACAAACAAACAAAACAGGAGGGCAGCAGCTGGAGCTGCCCTACTCGTGCGCTTTCGCCAGTTTGCAGAGTCTTTTAACCCTCGAATAAGGACCTATGGTGTCATCAAAAACAAATGCCCAAAGAACTCGAATCCAGGACTGGTGATATGGGAGGTTGTCGTAATATTCTGCTGCGATTTTCTTCACCTGGAAGAGCGAGAGAGAGACAGAAGAGGGCAGTTAGTTGTGCAGTGTCAGGTGAGTTTGGTGGCCTGCTCAGATCAGGTAGCCTGGCCACCAGGTAAAGCTGCTTGTCAGGCACATGATCTTCTGAAGCTCGGCCAAACCAGGATATGCTTAAACCTATCTGGATACTTCTAGGCAGAGCTCTGCAGTGAGTTTTGTTCACAGCATTTGCAAGATGATGGATGTCTGCATCTGGATGAGTCAGAACTTTTCTCTTACGTGGGAGGTGGTGGAATCTCCACACGAGATAACTGTTCTATCTTATACACTGCCAAGACTCCAACATACAGCATTTAAATCACTGTTTTCCACATGCTGCATTAGCTGCTGAGGTTTCCACGTGTGAGAGTTCAAACCAGCTGAGAAAACACTGAGAGCAGCAGAGCCCTGGGGAGAGCTGCGGGTTTAGCTCTGCTGCTAAGACACAAGGCTGAAATGCAGGTTCCTCCACCAGCCAGAGGAGGTTGGAGGCAGGAGGGCTGCTCTCCTCTATCCGGTGTTAAAAGTGCTATGATAATTGTTATTAGATCATGAGTCTAATAAAGCTTTATCCCTGTTAAAATCCCCCGGTTGAAAGGCTGTTCCCACCACAGCAGTGCTGTGTATTGGAGGTGATGCTGGGTTTAGCAGAAGCAAGGGCTGAGCCCAGAAGAGATGAGAGTTTCAAGCCTGCAGGTTAGGGGACTATCAGGATTCCGGAGTTACCAGTTGTCCCTGTTCCTCCTTCCGTGCTGCTGCTCTGCTCTGAGAGCAGGCGTGATGGGAGCAGCTCGGCGGAGCCCGGCAGCTGCTGCAGCTTGCACAAACCCTCCGCAGGCGCCGTTTTACGGGGACCCACCTTCCTGAGCAAACAACGTGCTCCTGGGGCTCCATCGGAGAGGACTTGCCCTGCCGAGCAGCACTGGCACTTTATAAACACGAGACTTGCTGCTTTAAACGCGGCCGAAGCCTCGTGGTGGCTGCGAAGAGCAGAGCAGAGCTTTGGGTGAAGGTCAGAGGAGCTGCCCGCAAAGGGTCACCTGCATGGAGGGCGCCAGGCAGAACCTGAGACTTTAATGGGGCAACCTCACGGAGCACTTGGTCTGTTTGTGGAAAGGGAAGGATCTCCATGGGAGTTAAACTGTAAGCCAGGGCTCCTGGCTGCCGGCCCCAGGGGCCAGAGCCACCTCCTGCCCACACTGCCCGTGACCCGGCCTGTGTGACAGGCACCGGCTGCAAGAGCTTTTGCTTTTGTGCCTGGGAACAAGGTCTCAGGTAGCGGTTGTGCCTTCTGGCACATGAGGTTAATTGAGAATGACCCCGGGGAGGAAGTAGAACAAAAATGGCTTAGCAGAGAGGCTGGTATCTGCAATCTACCCATGCCAGACCCAGTAGTTGGGACACATTGAGCAGACTTGGTCAGCAGACTGGTCTGGGTGTAGGGCTGAAGGGCTGGGGTACGCAACATGCAAGGTCAGAAACTTGCATTTAAATATGCTCCATACCCATATCCTGCAGTAGCACAACAGATGTAAAGGTGCCATCCCAAATACATTTATTAATAATTAAGGTAATCAGTACACCCAGAACTTTGAAGATCTCCTGTACCGTATTTTGGAAGCAGGCAGCCTTAGCCAAGACTAGCACACTGCTGGGCCAGCATCAAGTGACCAAGGACTTGCTTGCCCACCGAATGTGAGACTTCAGCAGCTCGGCAGGGCAGCAGGTCTTTCTGAATGAGATGGTTGGTATGGAAGGCAAAGATGATGACCAAGGTCTCATATAAGCTGCTGAGCCGTAACTCACACCTAAAGCAGCTCTTTGCTCCTTCCCCTGTTCTGCCTTGCACCCAACAGCAGGTTGTGCAAGAATTCAGGTGCCATTTGCACCATGTGCAACTTCCCAGTGCCCTGAGCAAGAAAAATACGTCAGATGTGCAGAAACAAGGGAGGGGAGAAAGTAAACCACAAGAATGTGTTTTTGGCAGGGGAATGGGGAAGAAGAAAATTTTAATGGATGCAGTTAGGAGGTAGAAGAGCGGTGACATCCGAAATGTTGTCTTATGAAATTCATGAGAAAGTTTGCTGTTTCTTTTGTTTATATCTATTGTTCCCATCATGCAGGATGGAAAAAAAAAAAAAGAAAAAAAGAAGTAGTTAAAAGTGCTTTCCTCTTGACAAGGATTGCACACAAAAAAGTAACCTGGCAAAAACAACTCTGGTGGTGTCATTTTTTTCAGCATCTCTTTGTGCAAAACGAAACTGCAGATAAATTCTGAAGCTGGTATTACTGTCATCTCAAGGAAGGCAGTATTACAACAAAGTACTTCCAGACCTTCCTACTCCTAACTTCAGCCTCAAGCTCTCCATGTTGATTGGAAAGGCTCCATTTGCTTCAGTGGACCCTCTGGAAACTTGGACTGTCCACACACATGAAAATCTTGCCTTTGTTCATTGCTGGGTTTTGGTGAGCAAATGTCACAGGTGGATAATGCACAGTGTCTGCAAAGAGCTGGTTTAGTACTTGGCACCTGGTATTTTGAGGCTTGGCTACAGGTAGGTCAAAGTGATAAGTAGCAAATAACAACTTTTTGGACTGAAACTTTGCTTTGGATTTTTATCTTACATGGTATAGCAGCAGGACCATGATCCTACTAGGACCCTCTCCTATTATCGGAAAGGCACGGAACAACAACCTAGACATTTGACCACAGCTCTTTTACACTGTTTGTCCTGAGGTCATACAGGAACTAGATCCTTATAACAGGAAGCAGCAGGATGCTGCTTACAAAGCTAGAAAGCATGTTGCAGGAGCTCCCTAAATACTCCTGGTTTGGGGTGGGATGAAGTAGGGAAGCACCCAAGCTCGTCCTCCTGGACATCACAGGGTTAATGAAGTCCGTATTTCAAGAAGTGCACAGCTACCGTGTTTTCTTGTCTGTCTAAGAAATCTCTGCTCATACCTTGCCTTTTCCTTTTCCCACAAGCTTAATGAATAACTAGTTTGCCTCTGGTAACAGTCCAGCTTTTATCGGAGTTTGCAGGGAGAGCAGCACTTTCCTTTTCATTCTCCCTTCCCCTCTCAGCATAAGGACAACCCATCCTTCAGGAGGAAGAATGGCTCTTTTTACTCATTCAGTAAAGAATGCAATATTTTATTGTTATAAAGCTTCACACAAAGACTAGCTCAGTCCTAAGTCTACCGGTATTTTTTACAGCAAACCCTCCACTCCAATATGGAATTTTATGCTCTCTTGCATGAACTGTCATCACATTAGTAGGACAAGTTCTTATTGCACACACGTCACTCATCTCTAATATCTAAAAGCTAATGGCACAGCCTAATTATTCCTGCTTCAAATCTGCCACAGAGCTAGGGCACAGGTCTTCTCGGTGGCAAATGTACTATATTGCTTAGTACATTCTGAATGAGCCACCTATAACAGGGCAAAGCTGAGTTTACCTTTCTGATAAGCAAGTGGAACTTATTTTTTCTAAGCCTATATCCCCTCTGGCCCCAAATATGCAGTAGCTAAGAAAGGACCTTGTTTTCCATATTTACAAATAAAAACAGCTAAACCTGAGAGGTCTTCCATATTACACAAATCAACTACTGGAAATCTGAGTGCTTAAGAGACTGAAAATCTGAGTAGCTTAAGAAACTGAAAACTCTAAACTTTCCCTCCTTTCCTGTGAAGGATTTGATGGGAGGAAGACAGGAGGAGAGCAAGGGGATGTTTCTACCTCTGCTTGTTATGAAGTTCATACATCAGAGCTATAGGAAAAAAAGGTTCTGCCCATACCTCCTTCCACAAAAAGTCAGAGATATTTTCTTCTAGATGTGTGGAGAAGGACAGCCTATTTGCGTTAATAGAATAAGGACTTTCTACAGCAGCTGTTTGCCAAAGGATTTCCACCTGGTAACAGATTTTCATTTGTAACTGACCACGCGTCAAAGGTTCAGTTTTCCACACGGTTCTGTCACACAGCAGTGGTTGACAAGCCTCGTGCCTCCCATCTCCTCCACCAGCAGGACAGGTCTCAGCTGCCCTACAGCTAGAAACCTATGAAGACAAATCCTTGAAATTCAACTAATAGCTTCATCCACTTCACAAATGAGGATGAACACTTTTAGGGCTGCATTGCCTCAAGGGATTAGGCTAAACTGTTTGTGATGTGGGTGGGGAAGAGCATTTCAGAGCTCATTCAGGTCTGGAGCAACAGTCCCAGCAGGTTCAATTAGTCACTCATTTCCCTTGTGTAAGATAACGTGCTAACCTCCTCCTCCTCTTGTATTTACATTTCAGTAATCTAAACATCTGAGCACCTCTAACCAGTCTGAACACTTCAAAGTAAAGCTATGCTCATACACTTGCTAGCTGAGCTACCAGCTCTAGGAGCAACAGGAGTGCCCGCCACAAGATCTTCACTTGTAAACATTGGCTGCCCTATGGGGTGCTTTGTCTCCCACCAGGAATAGCCAGGTTCTCCAGGACCCAGCTCCAGCAGTAAAGTAGGATATGTCAAAGGCTGAGAGAGCTGGGTCTGTTCAGCCTGGAGAAGAAGAGGCTGAGGGGGGACCTGATCAGCATGTATAAATACCTCAAGGGAGGCAGTGAGGAGGAGGGGGGCGGCCTCTTTTCAGTGGTGGGCAGGGATAGGACTAGAGGAAATGGCTTCAAACTGAAGCATCGGAAGTTCCACAGGAACTTAAGGAAGCATTTCTTCACTGTGAGGGTGACAAAGCACTGGAACAGGCTGCCCAGAGAGGTTGTGGAGTCTCCTTCTTTGGAGATCTTTAAAACCCGCTTGGATGCAGCCCTGTGCCACGTGCTCTAGGTGACCCTGCGTGAGCAGGGGGGTTGGACTCGATGACCTCTGAGGTCCTTTCCAACCTTCGGCATTCTATGATTCTATGATTCTATGAAAACAGAATTGGAGCCGATGTAGAGGCTCCTAGTGCTCTGCTGCTCCACAAGATCTCTTCTTGCATTGACTTTCCTCTCAAACAGTGTTTTTTTCCATGAAGAACATCATTAATCCACTAAAGCAAGGTTCCCAAACTGAATTTGCCTGGCTATATTGTCTGTTCTACAGTAGTAGGGAGGTCACAGCTCCTGAACCTCAGCCTCCTCTGCAATACCTCCTTCTCGTGAGCATGTTGCAGCAGTACTTCCCAGCCTTGCATCAGACCAGACACAGAAGTTGTTTCCCGCCTGCTGTGCCAGAAGGTTGGTGTGTAGGAGTAATGCTTCGAAGTCACATACCTCTAATCCTGTGAGAACTGCTGTTAAAGAACTCCCTGGTGTATTAACACCCCAAAGAGCATCTGTACACCTGGAGGTGGGTACAGAACCATGCCTACACAGCTGGGCTCTGCAAGTTTGATCCCCACAGCTGATAAAATGCAAATGCAAAGCAGCTTGGCTTTCAAAGGAGGAAAGCCACAGGGCTTTCTCCATGGCACACCAGGTATCTTCAGTATCTGTGCTGGGGCAGCAGAGCTAAAGCAAATCACGCACAGTGAGGTCTTATTTTTCAGGGGTGTTATTTGTGTCAGATTGGAACATGCCCCAGTGCTCATGTCATCTTACAAAATAGACTGTTGCTTCATGCTATGTATATAGCTATTATATTGTTCATCAGACAAAATTCAAGCAATGGTTGCCTCCTATCTTAGTTCAGATGGGCCTTTAAAATTTCAAAGAAACCAAACTTTGTAGATAGGGGAAAGAAATGGAGCAATTTAGGCCATTGTTGACTCCAACAACAATCTTATGAGCAAGGTATTGCTCAAGTTCTTCAAGACAGTGAGGTTCCCATTTCCTTCTAATAAACTGGATACTAAAGCTGTTTGACAGCCATTTCTTTCAAATTCTGGTTAAAAAAAAAAAAAAGAAAAAAGAATCAAAACAAATCCAAAAAGCTTTCTTTTTTAAGAATGGATCTATAACTATGAATTGGAGTGATTTCTCTGAAACAATTCAATAGTTTTTTATAAAAACCCAATTCACTTTTGCTCATGCTGTACTTACCATTGGCAGCTTGCACCCAGGAATGCTGGGGAAGTCGTGGTGCTCCATGTGGTAGCCTACATTAAAGGTGAGCCAGTTCAGAGGTCCATAATAAGAGTATGTTTCATACCCTTTTAAGAACATATAGTGTTCCGCTATGAAGTGCCCAGAAATGGGATGTAAACCCATGCAAAGAATTGTACCTGCTATTAAGTAAATAATAGGTTTGAGCCCCCAAAAGTAGTAGATTACAAGGTCTACAGAAAACTGCACAAGAGCATTAAAAATTTCCATCTGGGTAATGGTTTTGGGGTTCACATACAGTGGTCTCAGACTGTAGAACAGAGGCTGGAGGAAGAGCCAAAGCAGCTTCCGAAGCGGCGTACAGAAGAACCATCCTTCAAAGTCCGTGGGAATGTCGACATCCAGGCTGTCCCCGCCAAGGTATCGGTGATGGTCGATGTGGTATTTCTTGAAAGAGGCAGAGTAAGGAACTCCAATAGGCAAATTGGCAAAAACTGCAAACCACCGGTTCCACTTGGTCTGCTTGTTCCCAAAGGCAACGTTGTGTGAAATATCATGGATGGCTAAGGTCATGGAGTGGTTGATGCATCCCCCAAAAGCATAAGCCCAGAAGAAAACCCATTTCCAGGATAAGTCTTTCACCAAGTAGCATGCTAGAAGCTGCACAAAAACCATTCCAGATACAATCCACTTTAAGTGTGGATCTGGTCCCATCAGAGCCTTGATCTCTGGATACTTGGCTGAAGAGAAAAAGGAACACAGAATATCTCATTAACTCTCATGTAGGCAAACACATCACTACTGGTGCACTCGAGTTTTATCCCTCTGCGTTTGAGGCCCTACTTTTGCGAATGGCAGTTCAAGAGCAGGGTTAGCACTGTGAGGGTTTTACTGATGTACAAGTCCCAACTCTTCTTCCAGCACCGTGTCCTGTTGAGGTTCCTATAGGCTGACTGTGACAGTGCCACATGTCTGTACAGGACCAGCTTACTGACCTTTGGCTTTGTTGGCTATTTACTTGTTCTTTTAAAGGGGGAAAAAAAAAAAAAAAAAAAAAATAAGGAAACACAGAAGCACAGCTTATCTTCCAGGTGTATTTCATTGCTTCAGGTGTCTCTACTAACCCATCTTTCTCACTTCCAATTATTCTTCCGTGCATTTTCCTGTATTTCTATGGCCTCTACCTACCTACCGATCTTCTTCTACTCATTCTCATTCTTCAGTATAGCTCACACAGACAAGACTGCAGGACAAGTAACTCTGGAGCCTGTAGTCCCACAATGTGCTCCCAGCAGTTTGATAAGCCCGTTCAATGAATGCAAATGTCATCCGCCCACCACCCTATGGTGTGCAAACTACCGCATTAAAATCAGATCAGGATAACTTGCGTGCACACAGCTGTGGATACTGTAAACATCAGGGACCATACACATAACTGCAGGTGACCTTGGCAGCAGGGGTACAGGCTGGCACCAAGAGCAGCTCGCAGGGTTTTTATAAAAATGAACCCTGAGAAGTCGACAGTAGGTGAGACAGATGCAGGGCTGGTTAGGGGGCAGGCTGCTGTGGTCACGCTCTGCAGCGATGCCAGCGGCTCCCGGCTTGTTGGCCCGGTTCAGCCAAGCTTGGCAGGAGGCAGGGACCATAAAGATTAAGTGCTGTGGAAGATGATGAGGAAAGGGAAGTCTCAGTTGTTCCCCTTGCAAGGACAAGTGGGGGAAAAGTGACTGCTGGGAACATTAGGGCAGGAAAGAGATTTTGTGGGTGATAGAAAAGCTCTAAAAAACACCCATGTGTTTTTAAAATCAGTCAAACTTTAAAAAAAAAGGGGGGGGGGGGCAAATGTAGGTTTCCTTGATTCTGATGCTTCTAAAATTACAGAAATGCTAACTAGAAATGCTAGCATGCTACAAGTTTTTCTCTGATGCTTAAACAAGCAGCAAAGTTTTAGAAAAGGTCCCAGGTATTGAGTATCCATCCTAAAAGATAACTGGATACAGTGACCTGATTATAAAGTCTGTTACAGAAATATCTTTCTTTTCTGCTTAGGTACATCCATACGAAAAGCAGAAATATTAATAATTAAATAAATGCTCTCAAATTTTAATTCCTGCACTTGGTAGAAGCAAGTTCCTGCAACTACAGAGTCACTAAAGAGATACATAGCAACCAGATCTGCTCAAATTTAAGTCATTTTGACAAAAATGTCCATTTTTTCCCCTTTAAGGGGGGAGATGAAACTAAGCAAGGGATGCTTTATACTGTAGCTTGAGAACACTGACGGTTTTGTGAGTATTTCTTTTTCCTGGGGCCAACAGGGATTGCAGATTAAATTAAGGAGATTTCAGAGCAGTAGCTGCTAGTCAGAAGCAGGAATATCTGGAAGCCTTGCTGGTAGTGGAAGCAATGCGGGAATGTTGCATTTATCAGAAGTGACAGCTATTATGTTACTTGTTAGGGTCTAGTATTAAATTCAACATGAATTTTGCTCTCCAGCAATAAAATTTCATATAATAGTTAAGCCAAAATGTTGTGTCTGTGTGTTATTAATACGAATAAACATTTTCTGTTTCCACTAAACAGAGAAACCGCAGGAAAGGTTGTTGCTGAAGGTTGTTCAGCAAACTGGATCCTGAAAACCCCTCTGCTGGGTTAGGCTGCCAGAGACCTCCACTCTGCTCTACTCTCTGCTCTTGAAATCATTAAAGTTCCACATTAAAAGGCATCTGAGCAGAGATTTTTATCGCACTGCCTGCCTTGTACTGTGTACGGAGCAGTGTGTTTCTTCCAGCCTTCCTGAGCCCTTTCAGGGCCAGTACATGACCATGGTCACACAGTGGCATTTACAGTGAGCTCCTTAGTATCCACCATGGAGAGGGATAAGGACCAGGGAAAAAGCAAATAGTCCAAACCTTTCAGCCATTATAGATAAAGGGAGTGAAGAAAAACAAACAAACACACACAAGGGTTTATGGACCCTTGTGGACCAAGATTTGTCCATCAGGGCACAGTGGGACCAGGAGAACTCCAGCTGCTCCGGTGCCTCAGCAGCAGGTTCTGCAGCCTCCAGCCCCTTTTCTAGAGGTCATCTCCTTCTCTCCTTCTCAAACTCTCTTTGGGAAATTACTCTTTGTCTGCACACATTTTTTTCCCACTATTGCTGCTTTCTCAAGATTTGACATATGGTGCCATATCCTTAGCACTGGAGCTATCCGGAAACATAAAAGTCATGGAGTTTCAAATGAGCAGCAGTGCCCAAATCCATGGGAGGCTAAGAGCAACAAAAAAGGGTTTAATTTCTCCACATTCCTTTATTTTAACCACAACAGCAGCATACGTGTATAGTCAGTGTGGGAACACCACTCAGCACAAGACTTTCAGAGATCTATCAAAGGGAAAAAGAAAAACGTCTCCGCAATGACACTGTCCTGGACTCTGTTCTATTAATCGCAAGTCCCTGCCAAAGCAAACAAGAGGCACCAGGCACAGACAGGACGGGAGCTTTCAGACCCTACTCCCTGTGTTGGAACTAGGTTTGAACCAAAAACCTACAACATGCAGCAGCCGAAGCCTTCAGTTGTGCTTAGCTTTCGTGCACTGTCGGCAGGAGATGACCTGCTGCACAAATAATGTATTTTACAGGCAGTTCCCACAGCGGGCTGGCAGGACACGGGCGGTGGCTTCTTCGACTGCCCTTGGTGGCCATGGGCACCCACGCACTGCGGCACAAAGGGGAAACGGACTCTGCTTCCTCGCCAGCAGCGCACGCGTTTCAGAGCTTTGGTTGAAGCTAAAGATACGCATCTTGCACGCTTCCATGGGTGCATTTCATTGTAATTTCCATGAATGTGAGTTTTAAATAGGCAGCTGTAAGAACTAGTTATCGCTAAATAAATGCACAGAGCTCACATTGGCCGAAACCTGTTATACTCAGAATTCAGCAAGATGGAATAAACACAATGAGCTTTGGCTTTTTGATTTGATGCCCTATGCAAGAAGGTGAACAACTCAGCCTTGCTACACAGAAGCCACTTGCACCATTTTCCCTCCAAAACAGCTTGCCAAAGAACCAATTATATAATTATTCCTTGGTGTTCAGTCATACTCAGATACTTGTAGCCTGCCGTGAGCAGCAGGCATTCAGGTGTCAACCTCAGTGGCAAACAAGTCTTCTCCACGGATCTTATGAAGCAAGACATTTTCCAACTCATCTGCAGTAATTTTACAGAATTAGATCCAACCCACATCACAAACAAGACATGGGTCCTCTGTGCTGCACCACATTGCTCACTGCTCGCGTTTGGAAACGCGCCTATTCATTGTGTGCTTATGGTGTTACAGCCTCTGAGAAGAAACGAAGTTTACGTCTTCCCTCCAGACCGCAGCAAACGGCACCTCCCTCTGTGTGCAAGTCCTGCAAGTGCTTTAATCCAGCAGGTCCTTTCTACTACTCGGAGCAGAAATTCTGCTTTTAGGAGAGGTACAAATGCCCTCTGCCTTGTTCCCAGCCACCCGCTGTGCCTGCGCTGAGTGGCAGTAACACAGGTACGGCCACACTGTTAGGCTAGGCAGGCGTGGGAGAAAGCCTTCCCTGTCAGGTGAGCTTTAAGCCAGGTCACTTCTCCAGTCCTGCTCACCACAGAGTTACCCAAGTCCTGCTTCTGACACAAGACACGAACGGACCTTTCATAAACAAGGAGGCGAGATAATACCAACAGAATAATCATATTTCAACACCAGAAAAGCAGAGATGATATGATCAAGAACTAGGGACTGGGGTCAAAGTATCCTCTTGGCAAGAAAGCTCCTTTGTATCATAGCTGGCACCTAGATAGTACCAAGCACATGGGAAATTTTAGTGTCTAAGGTTCAAGAGCAAGGTACTACAAAGCAAAGAGATAAGAGACAGGGAATAATTACCTCTTCCCTGTGCAAAAACAAATGTAGATCTACTTGCTGGCATTAACTGCATCTATTTAGGATCCCATCCCTAGCAGGCTGACCTCCTGCAACCAAATCCTGGCGTCGGCTTGTGGCCAGCGTGGTCCATACACCCGCCACACAGCTCCACTGCTTGGGGGCAGCCCTGGGGTAAAAACCCCACCAGCCAAGAACCAGAAAGCTGCTTCGAACACCCTGGGCTTGACAAGATTTCCCTACCACTGCAGGCCACCATCGCTGCTGCAGACGTCGCAGACCCCAGGGCCATCAGCTCTCCAGCCAGGCTGTGCAACTCGCTGACAGGCCATTACTGCTGCTCCCTTACCCTCTGGAAGCCTCCTGGGGCAACACGTGAAGGAAACATGGAATCTACACAAGAGCTGCCTCATGCACTTCTCAGTCTCTCTTGTCTGGATATATGGATATATCTGATGAATAATTTCAGGTTTGCATTTAAATCCATCTTTATATGTTCAAATGTACGCACGATGCAAACAGTGCCCTCCAGCTGAACAAAGACTAACAAAGACCAGACACTCTGGTAAGGACACGCTCAAGGTTTCCTGACTGACCATCAGGCTTTGAATGATACAGTGACCGTGACTGTACCAATGCCAGAATGGGATGCTATGATGCTCTTAGAAACTTTTGTTTTCTCTTTTTTTCCCCCTCTTCTGGATTTTATAACCCCTGGATTAATCTGTTAAACATGGAGAAGCTGAAAAGCTAAACGTGAGCATCAGTCACAGCACTTGCACAGCAGCTCAGCCACAAGCCTCATCTTCCCCTATAAAAGACC